AGACCCAGCCACAAAAACCTGCCAAGCTTGAGTAACAAGAGGGACAATAAGACACCATACTTTCAACAACCTGAATGGCTTAGGACCATAAGAAACAATAGACTCTAAAGACACCATCATAGCACAATGATCAGACAACAAAGCAGGGCATAATTGAACCTTGGAAGATTGAAAAGTTTGACACCAATTCCTATTAACCATGACCCTATTCAGCGTGGCATAAATCCTAGACTGATAAGCCTGTCTATTACGCCATGCCCATGAACCATTGAGCACAGGTAAATCAATCAACTCAGCTTGAGACACCATATTGTTGAACTGATCAATTACTCTCTGTGAAATTGCAATACCTCCCTTCTTTTCAGAATGATATCTCACATTATTCCAATCCCCCACAGTGATCCAAGCTCCTTGAATACCAAAGGAGAGTTGGATAACAGCATACCAGAGCTTTAATCTGTTTCTCTCAACATTCACAGCATATACCGAAGTACAAAAAAACTGGACTTTGGATGGAAGATGAGTAACTTGAATAAATAAAAATTGAACATCTTCACCTATCAAATCCACCTTAAATACCGTAGGATCCCAGCCAACCCATATCCTCCCCAAGTGTTGTGAAGAGTAATTATGCAACCAAAACCAATTGCTTTTAACATTAGAAGAAACTACAGAAAACCTATCTTGTTTCAATCTTGTTTCCAAAAGACAAACTAGAGAAAGAGAAGAAGAATTAATCCATTTCCTTACCTCCCTCTGCTTCCAAGCCTTGTTTAGCCCCCTAACATTCCAAGATGCAGTCATTGAGAAGAAACATTAGGGGGTAATCTCCCAGTCTTACTTCTAGTAAGCCTATCATTCATCACTGGCTGAGTATTCTTAGTCTTTTTACCTTTTCCAGTAGCTTGAACAGGAGTAGAAGAAGTAGACTAATTTTCTTTCTGAGTTGAAACCCTCATGGGCATGTTCAATACTTGCTTTTCAGCAACTCCTATCCCAGGTGATTGAGACTCCACAAGATATTCTCTAACATCCCCCACCTCATTACTATCTCTAACAATTTTCTCCTTGGCAAGTGATGTCTCAGCAGCATCAAGAGGATCAATATCCACAAGCAACCTAGTAGCAACACCAGCATGGATATCAGTCACACTATGATCACCATCCAACACCACAACCGCAGGCTCACCTCCAGTCATTTTTCCACCATCCATGTCATCTTGTAGACCCTCAAAAGTGTTGGATGTCTTCACACTAACACCACGTTCAGTAGTTTTCGCACTACCAGTGACCACCGCAGCCTCATCAGCTACAATAACCTCCAATGGGTCATCCAAATTACCACCTTCTCCATTGTTAACTTTTTCTATACCATCAGCAAACAATGTAAAAGAATTGGATGTCTCCAAACCATTCACAGCACCATGAGTAACACAATGCACATTCTGTTCAGACATACTATCAATCAGCTTCCCCTTTTGTTTAACCACCCAACGATCAGTAGTTTTCTTGGGCTTTGCTTGCAATACCTTCCTTGGACAGTTATCTTCCTGATGGTTCACTCGTTTACATAGAGAACTCAATTTTGGCCTCCATTCGTATTCAAAATTAAGACAACAATCTTCACCATGAATATTAAGGTCCATCGAGTCTGGGAGATCATCATTAACCCAATCTCCACCATAACTCTTAACAAACCCTCCTTTGTCTCGATGAAGAGTAGGATCATCCATATATATAGGCTTCGAGAAGGAGGAACAAACCTTGGAGATCACCACAGCCTTGCGACAATGGACTGGTAAATCGTGGATACAGAGCCAAACTGGAATTGTTTTTTATTTTTTATATTTTTTCCTAGTTGGTACTCACACACACTTGTCTCTTCTGAGACTTGAACTCCTGACCTTCCTTTGGGAGGTAAGAGGTTGATACCGCTAGGCCACTGGCGCGTTGGTAAACTGGAATTGTTTCGAGAACATCTTTCTCAAGGTTCACATTCTTACACCTTTTCTTAAGTATGATTGGCCAACCTTCAAAAGTATGAACCCTAGACAGAACTTTCTTAACATCCTCATCAGCCTGAAAGCGCACAATGAAAAAACCTTTCTTCACATACACCACCATAGGACCTTTGCCCACCACTGTTCCACATAAGTTTTGAAACGATGATATTAAGGTCACTTTCCCATTACATAACCCATCACAGATGTACTCCAGAAGTCGATTTCATCAGCAACACCCTCCACCGAGATTGACACCTTCAATCCACGGCTGTCACTAGGGAACTACAAATTCGTAAACTGTTCCGTAGTGTTACCAAAACAACTTTGCCATGATGGCCTTGATGGGGATTACTTCCGGCCTGGAGAGATCGTCGGCGGTTGGGGGGAGGAGGTTTGACCCTTCTCCTTGAGGCAAACAATCCCCGTCCCAGATGACAGTGAGCATGCAAAATCCTAAATCGCCTCTGATAACAAAATCTTATTGTCAGTTAACAAAACAATTAATAAAGTGACATAATTAATAGAAGTATTCTACCTTGATTCCAAAGTTGTGTGTGTAATTTGCATCGTATAATGAAGTCATGGAAGAGCAGATTTATGTAGCAATAATGAAAATTAGAATTAATTTAAAATTGAATTGATAATTGTAGTCCCCAGGCTTAAAACTTTTTTTTCAAGGCAAAAAGTGTAAGAAGTTAGATTGGTAGATGCAGAGAGTTGAAGCCTAGCTCTCCAAAATCCACCGGAGGCACTAACCCACTGTGCTATCGAGACATCTGCCCAGACTTAAACTTGGGCTTCGAGAAAGAACTATTTGAGCATGAATGATATAATAATATTATTAAGAGCATAAGATATATGACAACAAATGTAAACTATTCTTGTCCTAATTATTTCTTTGGGAACATGAAATATAGTGTGAGTCATGGCTTATAAGCAAATATTGGAAATGAGGGGAAAATATTGAAAAGTGTTTGTGAAGGAGTTTTAGGTAGAAACAAAATTATAATAAGAAAGAAAGAAATAGTTATAATGATAAATTTATGTACTCTTGTAGAAATATTTCATATCCTGAAACGTAAAAGTTACATGCAATAATAATTGAGAAATAGTGGAGATCAAAAGTAATAATGATCTTAGTGTAATAATAAAGAGGATTGGTGAGAATTTAACTAGTTCTTGTTATTATTATTATTATTACATGTCTTAGTCTTTTGCCCCTTTTCTAATAGAAGCGTTAACTAGGGATGGCAACGGGGTAGGTATGGGGCGGGGTTGCCTAAACCCTACCCCGCCCCGTTTATCAATTTCCAGTACCGAACCCAGGATGTGTTTGAAGGCGCGCCTAGGCGCGCCTACGCTTGAGGCTCAGGTTTAGTGCCTGTTGTCACCCTAAGCTCACTGATGTTTACTAGGCGCGCGCCTCGGTTGCGCCTTGTCCTGTTTGTCAGGTGCGCCTAGGCGCGCTTCACTGATATTTGTTTAAAAAAATACGATTGTTCTATTTCTTAAGCCAAAAAGGGTACTTTTGGCAACTTAATAAACAAAAAAAAAGCTCAATCATACGATATAAGGAACTTTTGTTCAAAAGAATAAAAAAATAAGAAAGCCCAAGAGTAAAGTGTTAACCGAACAATGATAGAATGAGATTGTGAGACGAAGACGAAGCCCTAGTTGCAGAGATGAACGACGAAGCCACGTCAGCTCTTTCTTTTCTTTTCTTTTTTTCTCTCTTCTCCTCTAGATCTCTCCTCTCTTCTTATCTTTGTTTACATCTCTTTCTTCGTCTGGTTCTCTCATCTCTCCGTCTTTTATTTTTTTGCTCTGTTTTTTCTTTTTCTTTTTCTTTTTTTCTTGTTAACAATTTATTTTTCTTGTTAACATATTTATTTCTTTTTGTGCTTTGTTTTGCCATTCAAAAAGCACATTTTGCTTTGCCTTTCAAAAAAACAAATTTGTGCTTTGTTTTATGGTTGTTGGTGGATTTACTTTTTTATATTTGATATTAATTTTTAGAATATTGATATGACTTATGAGATATGAATGTTATTATGCTAGTTTACATTTTCAATTGTGCGCCTCACTTCACTCAGGCGCGCGCCTCGCGCCTAGGCTCCAAAGGACCTCTAGCGCCTTGGGCCTTTAATAACTATGATCCTCGTTTGGTGAACCAATCATAGACCCCGTTGTCGCCCCGTCCCAACTTGTTAATTGTGTTCCAATGTGAAAAATGGAGAGAGAGAGAGAGATTAGATCAAATACTGGAAGGATAGAAACCATTGATGTGTGTGTGTGTGGCTGAAATCAGATTTTGAGAGGAAAGATACATATACATGTATATATATATAGAGAGAGAGAGGGAGATGTATATATGCTTATATATTATACAAAATCCAAAGCAATTTCGCACCAAGCAAGTGTATGACAGAGGGATGTTGAGAGACAAGGGAAAGAGAACCGATGAACACAGATTGGTAGATGGCTAAGGCTTTGGAAGATCGGTTGGCTCACGGACTTGCGATCTGATCGAATGGCTGACTACTCACGATTTGCTCCTAAACAACAAAACGATTTGGGGATTAGTTTCAAATAGGTTCAAAACGAGTGGGCTGACAATGGTCATTTTGTTGTGGTCTTAATGGTGGAAATTATGCCCATGTGAGTTCTTAGAGTTCTGAAGAACAAATTTTTGCATATAATATCCTTTTCAATGATGAATTTGCTTGACGCTTTCACATTGCTGCACTATAAAACTTTTCAGTTATTTATGGTGTTGGGTTTTTTGATCCGTGCTGCTAATCTGCTTATTTGTACATCGAGATTAATTCAATAACTCTGTGGCTCACATGTCCTCTTCCAGCAGGTTTAGGCGCTAGCAGTTCAAATTATGATTGTACACAGCATTATGAATACATCTTATTTGCTCAACCCCAATATTGAGTTGAATCTCAAGTTTTCAGACCTCTAAGTACCTGATGTTTACCTAATCATGTGCAGGGTCCTCCACTGGCTGGGAAGTATGATATGGGAGCCATATGTATGCAAGAGCATTCAGAAAAGCTCCAAAGCCTAGTAAATGATGCCTTAGACAAAGGAGCTGAAATTAAAGGCCGGGGAAGTGTTGGCAATATTGGTGCAGGTGCAGTTGATCAGTACTTTCCTCCCACCATAATTGTAGATGTAAATCACACAATGAAGTTGATGCAGGAAGAGGTATTTCTATTTTTATCTGACTACCAGATTGTGTTAGAGCTGGCATGCAAATGAATTATATATTTATCTGTTTTCTGCTTTTATCATATTCTGAAGAATGCATTGGTACCTTAATGAACTACGGGAAGTGGATTTTTTTTCTATAGTGGGCATGTGAAACACATTTCTTATCTTCTCCTTGGTTCCGTGGATGACTGCATGCTAATCTTTATGACCTCCATTTATGTCCAGGCTTTTGGACCAATCATGCCAATAATGAAATTCAGCTCTGATGAAGAGGTTGTCAAGCTTGCAAATGACTCGAAATATGGGCTTGGGTGTGCTGTGTTTTCTGGCAGTCAGCGCAGAGCCAAGGAGATAGCTTCCCAATTACATTGTGGAGTGGCTGCTATCAATGACTTCGCATCAAATTATATGTGTCAGGTAATCTTTTGTTGAAGAAGTTGTAATTGATACTTCTATACATTTGCTTAAATGCAAACAGGCAACAAAGTTTTCAATAGAGTTATTGAAACTTTTTTTAGAGACTGTTTCTTTTGCCTTTGTTTCAAATAGAAGTTGTTTATCTTATATTTAAACTGACTATATTTTAATTCTCACTCATATCATTGGCTAGGTAATTCACTTCAGTGATACCGAGATAATATAATCTGAAAGTATGTATATGCTGAAATAATGGAGCCAAAGGAAGAGAAAAAGTAATTTTGTTTGGAAATAAAATCGGTACTAATATATAATTGTTCAACAGTTATGTGCACATCCTATTCCTTCATGTAAGAGCTGTTTCCGTGTTTGTTGGTCTAGAATTTATAAAAAAAAAAATTTAGACTCAAATCAGTCCATACAATTGTATATGTCAACCCATCAGCCTACTAATCTTGGTAAATTGTGCGGCACTAAAGAAATACCTAACGTTTTTTTACAGTCACTGCCTTTTGGTGGAGTAAAAGATAGTGGGTTTGGAAGATTTGCTGGTGTGGAAGGATTGCGAGCTTGCTGTCTTGTAAAATCAGTTGTGGAGGATAGATGGTGGCCTTATATCAAGACTAAGATACCAAAGCCAATTCAGGTCAGCTTTGTCACTTCTGAAGTTGAATTTGTGTGAAGGTCCCTATACTTGCAAACTGATAGTTTCTCTCTTTCAAATCTAGTATCCTGTTTCCGAGAACGGGTTTGAGTTTCAGGAATCACTTGTAGAAGCATTGTATGGCCTAAGTATATGGGATCGTCTGCGGGCACTAGTCAATGTCTTGAAGATTCTTTCAGAGCATGGATCTCCTGCTGGCAATAAGAAAAGAAATGACTAGGCTTTGACACTATACAGGCTTGGCAACAAATTTTCACCGATTTCCTGAATTTTTCTTTGGTTTTCATTAATACTTGTTAGGTTTTCTGGAGGACTAACTCTGCAGTAATTCCTCCATGCTGTCGAATTTTCACCAATTCTGTTTGTATTTGTCGCTAAAGAAGGCATATATTGAGTTGACATGTACATTCTGAAATGCAGACGATGAAAATGTTGACGCTGTATCTTAAAACATTTTCTTCCGAACAGGGATTTCAATTTCATGCATCCATCTAATGCATATTTGTAGGCTGGTATGTAAAAGAGCACATATTCAAGTTAGATTTCAATTAACAATCACATATATTGGTGAGGTTTTTCTGTTGGAATCAATTTTTATCTACCATTGCAGACCAGCTGATAAATTCCATGAAAATCTAAGAGGAAGAACCTCAACTTTAGAATGTCAACATATTAATTATGAGTAAATTGTCTTATAGCGCATTATCAATTTATCACCACATTTTTACTTGGGGAAAACGGTCATAGTGCACATTTAAAGCCCTCAATTTCAAAACTTTCCTAGTAGCCATCTGGTGCTATCGCAATTTGTGTTGGTGTGTTGTGTGGACATGGGTATCTTGTTATATGGGTCGACTCAAACATGACATAATAATTACAGTTTAATAAATATGTTAATACTTGACAAGACATTTTTTATTTGAAAGGTTTATAAACCGATTGGTCGAACATGAACACCATGTCTTAATTCGGATCGACAAACGGATATTGTCCCAGTGAATTTATTTACTAAAAAGTGATTTGCGCACATATTGAAAGTGGTGCTCGAAGGGCAGTTTGATAATTCTTATTTTTCACAAAATCATAAATATTTCACCTAATTTGTATACTAAAACTATAAATTTATATATAATTATTAGAAAAATTACCGAATGTACATTTAAAGTCCTCGAATTACACAAAATTTTCGTTCAAAAATGTGTTATTGTACATGGCAACCTAATGCATTTTACAGTGAGTGCACTGGTGAGACTTGCTCTTACCAAAATATATACGTACGTGGATGGTACATTTCACTCTTTACATAGGTTAAACATACCCTTCAAATAAACCAATGTCCTTAACTATATGTAACATCTTTCATGACTAGCAAATTTTTTTTCTTCTAATGGACTCATTTTAATTTAGTTCAAAGTGTATAAAATTACATTGCATTTCAACACAATTTATGACAATCACTGTCCTAGAATATGTTGATCAACAACTCTTTGCAGTTGAACACAGAACTCTAAGCCTTTTTTTTTCTTTTTTTTTTTTTGCTTTTCTAAATGAAGATAATACAAGGAATTTCCTCCCTAGGACAAAAAAGAAGGAATTTCCTCGCACCAAATATCATTCACATTTAAGTGCACGAGTTATCTCCCATGTAGCTGCACCATATTCTTGCATTAGACTGTCGTCGAGTCCACGCTCATGCCCTGTACAATTCACTAATGCAACAGTAAATCTCTCGTTCTCCAGCGAAGAAGGATACATGATTTGTTCTTCCTGAGATCAAAACCAAAAAAAAAAATTGAAATAGAAACAGATATTAAGAGCGAACAAGAAAGATTCACTAATGCAAACATACAATTTATTAGTGGAGTACCTAGTTTCTGGCTGACAGTGAATTTTCAATACAAGAAAGATTAAATTTTCAATATGAGAATTGTGATACAGTGTTAATATATGCACACACATATATATAGCAATAACTGAATAATTCAACAGGAAAGAGGCTGCACCCTTTTGCCTACTCTTATTAAAGCTTGAAATAGTAGATTTCATCATTTGCTTCTTGTTATTCAATTATCAGAAACAACACTGTTATTAAATTTTTGTCTGGTAGTTTTATGCATGCTTTTCTGTGATTACAAGGATGATGAGAAATAAAATCAAATGTAGATTATGGCATTACCACAATTGCTCCCCTAATCAGATTCAGAAAAGAAAAAAAAAAAAATTGTTTGGAGATTACCTCAGGTAACTCGTAGAAGTCATCAGGAGATATTTGCAGTAACTCTGTAGCAGTTTGACCACTACACCATGTAAAAACTTTTGCACTCTCATCAGCAAGAGTTATTTTCAAATGGAAAGTGCGCACAACTTCATCATTGCAACTGCAATGACAGAATTGACACTCAACACCACCGTAAGGTGTCTTCTCAACAAAATGACCGCAACAGGCATGTGAAAATCTCGTATTTACATGACAATGTTCGATTTGGTCAAGCCAAACTGTACATATCTGCAAATTTTCACCAAAGGGGAAAACGCTAGGTTAGGGAACGAGTACAAATGCTCCAATATGCACCATATTCTATACCATTTGACAAGACTTACAATTTTATCTTTTATTTTATTTTGTTCTATTAATAAGTATATGTGTGCCATCTGCCGCTTGATGCAGTTTTCATATAACAAGGATAAAACATAATGTATTGACTATAGATAAAATTGAAACATCTTTTCCTACCAATAAATAAATAAGGGAAGAAGACAGAGTAAGCAAAATGAAGCACAGAAAAGGCATTCAGAAGTTTTTTCATGAAAGATGAGTGCAAGCCAAATTTTCATAAGAAATCCATACATGTGTACTGCTAGTCTGGCTGGATAGATCAGAAAGATATGATAACTTGTGAAGACAAGATGAGTTCAGCAATGCTGGCAAGCAACTAAGGTTGATAAATGAAGCTCCAACATCATTCTCAAACCACAATACTTCAAGGCTGTTTAAAAAAAAAATGCAATGGATGAGACATTCCATTTACACTATCAGAATAACAATGAGCAGCATAAACTACAAGCCATAAAATTTTAAGAGAACTATTTTACCCACGACGATTTGAGGAATTTAGAAATAAGCTTCAAGCGATCAAATCATCATTCATAGTTAATTCATAAAATATTATTATTATTATTATTTATGGAAATGAAAAGGTGATAAAATGTGGAATATGCTCACCTTTTTTGTTTTGTCATAGAGCATGTCAAGCCAGATATATATACAGTGTGACCAAGGCCTAGTCTTCCCAATGACCTAAGAAACATAATTTCAGGCCAAGAATATATAAACTATGAAGAAGTTGTTGAAGGAATGAATGTAATCCAATTTTACAATGGAGAATTTAGTCAAGTATTAGTACCAAGATCCAACAAAATGCAGCTTTGCCCAAATTGCACCAGTGGTATCTTTAATCCTCAATGAGAAAATAGAATCCGTAGTTTTTCTTTCTCCCATCATGTCTGTAACAACACCATAGAGGCTGATGCTTGTCATCTTGTCACGAAGATCATTTACAAATGACTGCAAGACTTTGAAAATGTAAGCAAGGTTAATAAGAATTCATCACACAAGAAAATGACCACATGTGCGTAGAGAACACAGAAACTAGATAGAATAATTGAAGCCCTGTTCTTGACTCAACTTCAGAAAATCAAGAACTAAGAATCAGACACTTTTACGAAGGTGATATGTTCATAATCAGTGTTGTTAAAGGCGCGCCTAGGCTCGAGGCTCAGGTTTAGCGCCCGTTGTCATACCAGGCTCACTGATGTTTACTAGGCGCGCGCCTCGGTTGCGCCTCATCCTGTTTGTGAGGTGCGCCTAAGTGCGCCTCACTGATATCTGTTTAAAAAAATACGATTGTTCTTTTTCTTAAGCCAAAAATGGTACTTTTGGCAACTTAATAAACAAAAAAGAGAGCTCAGTCATACGATATAAGGAACTTTTGTTCAAAAGAATAAAAAAATAAGAAAGCCCAAGAGTCAAAGTGTTAACCGAACAACGATAGAATGAGATTATGAGACGAAGACGAAGCCTTAGTTGCAGAGATGAACGACGAAGCCACGTCAATTCTTTCTTTTCTTTTCTTTTTTTCTCTCTTCTCCTCTAGATCTCTCCTCTCTTCTTATCTTTGTTTACATCTCTCTTCATCTACTTCTCTCATCTCTCTGTCTTCTTTTTTTTGCTCTATTTTTTCTTCTTTTCTTTCTTGTTAAGAATTTTTTATTTTTAATTTTTGTTAACATATTTATTTCTTTTTGTGATTTGTTTTGCCATTCAAAAAACACATTTTGCTTTGCCTTTCAAGAAAACAGATTTGTGCTCTGTTTTATGGTTGTTGGATGCTTGTATAGATGGATTTACTTTGTTATATTTGATATTAATTTTTAGAATATTGATATGACTTATGAGATATGAATGTTATTATGCTAGTTTAAATTTTCAATTGTGCGCCTCACTTTACTCAGGCGCGCGCCTCGCGCCTAAGCTCCAAAGGACCTCCAGCGCCTTGGTGCGCCTTGGGCCTTTAATAACTATGTTCATAATGGAAATGTGTAGGAATTCAGGTACCTACACTTCATGGACATTCTTAGACATGTGTCGTACACCAAATGTACGTGTATATAATTCAAAATCAATTTCACTATTTCAGACGCTTTATGGCCATCTCAAACACTTATGACTTGTGTAGAACATACACACCTCCACAGGAGCCATGTCCAACAGTCTTGGAAGCAAGATGGCTACACCCCAAACTCAAACTTTCATTTTTTAAAGAAAATTTGACATTGTACACATATCCCCCGCAAGTCAAGAAATTCTTTAATGCAAAACATGAAAAGGAACGTAGTAAGAGAGTAACAAAAAAGAAATAATACATAAAATAGTAAGAGAGTAACAGTAGTATGTAAAATAGTATAGTCTTTATGATATTTGTCAAGTTTCGTCTTTATATTGTGCAATTCTTCACTAAATTAATCCTCAAGAGGGTGCTCCCAAGAGAATGCACGAGACGCCAAAGGCGACCAACTTATAGTTCAAACTATCCAAAAAAATCCAAAAGATGTCCCGTAGATTTACAAATTACGCTCATTAACCCAAAAGTGTAAAGAAGTCAATATATTCCATTTGAGAGACCAAAGTTCCAAACAAGAGTCTCATGTCCATCAAAGGATCTCCTATTTCTCTCGCACCACAAACCTTTCACTAAATTAAATCTATATGGTTGTCTTATATAATAGATGTAAATATATAAATATTTTTAGCCACATATTGTCACGTCTCTGTCAGGTATTTCCATGTAATCATTTCCATATTGTTTACGAGTCTTCCATTTTATCTGTGCTATTTAGCCCAGAAAAAATTAAAAATGAGTACAAACTTTTAATGGCATTATTGACAGGTACAGGGTAAAATCCTAAGAATGTTTCTTTGCTTTATGTTTCTTCTGGACAACAAATATGTAAAGTATATACCCATTCCTGACAGTTCAAATGCAGCAAAATAAACTTCAGAGATCTTGAAAATGAATATAATGAAAACCATGAAATCATAGGAAAGTCTGAAAAGAAATCAGGTGACTTCTACAACATCTGAAAGCACCATCAACAGATTCTGCCAGATATGTTGAGCAGAAATATCCAACATAATTTAAATGCCAGCATAATCCTTCAAGCATCTATGAGTAGATTATTGACTTCAACAATGAGATGGTGCTTGTGGTCATAATTCAATCCTTGCTTTATTAATATACCAAGTCCACTGTCTAAGTTTAGTAACTAACCGAGCAAGCATAGTTTAACATGAATTGAAGACAGAAAAAAACAACAGACACAAACCCACAAAGATAAATGGATAACATAACTACCTTTTACAAGTAACTTCGATACAAATTATAATGGATGGATATTGTATGCATTTGATAGGGAAAGGGACAACAAGCAATTGGTAAGAAAAGTTTTGGAGCCAGCTCCAAGGCCTAATCCCAAGAAACTCTAAATTAAGAACAAAATTATTGAGGGGGCAGATTCATACTAAAGGGAAATCTATCCTACAACATGTTTGAAGTTGAATAGCACTGTACCCACTTCATTGGATGATGCCACTGCACAACATTAGAATTAGGATATTATGGTAAATTATGATACTCAGCTCAACAATGATCATCACCACTGTGTGCTGATCAATTTCCTCACAATCAGTGCCAACAGCTGTCAGCGGCAATAATTACCTCCATCAACAACCTCGAACCACAATCATCTTCATCACCTATGTTGTTACCAGCCCTACATTGCAGCCTTCGCTGAGTGCCGTCAGGCCCATCACTATCGTTACCACCAATATTTTATATCCTTTTTAAGTTTGGATGTAATATTGAAGAAGGTTGGATTTAATAAATGCATGTCAGCACTAACAGTGCACTGGCAAGATCACTTGGTGTCCAGTAAAAGTGAGTACATAGATACCTACTCCACATGTGAAGTAGGATAGCATTTCCCTTACTAAATTTTGCAGGCATGACACACTTGTAAGAATACTTCAAGCTAATGGCCCAAAACAATATATAATGCGTCTTAATTCTGATATCAATGAAAACAAATGGTGATAAATCTAAATACTTTTTTATGTGTAAAGTATTGAAGATCGCAGTAGACTCACTCTAAAAGGATAGTTACTGAAGTCAATGGAACCCTGAGAATCGCAGGGCAAGGTCACTTGAGAAAATTTTGGTCCCTGACTTGGATCTAATGCACTCAACAGCCTTGATCCTTGATACCGATTTTGAGTCAATGCTATACATACCTGACAAATGTAAAAGTCAACTCTATATCCGAAATTTAAAATGCTTTTCTTTAATATTGTCATTCATTACTTACCTGTTCCTCATGTTGAATGAAAGGCACCAGGTATAATTGTGTTGCACTACCATATTCAAGACAAATTTCTTCGCATGTTTCAGATGCACTGTCAACTGAACTTGCAATAAACGGTCTATCCAGTGCAAGCATACTTCCGACACTGAAAAGAAATTGCATTGTGATGCAGAAAATTGCATTATGGGCAGATATGGAAGTAAAGCTGATGTTAAAGAAGCAATCCAGTGTTATGGTCTACCTTAAAAGGTCGGAAAGAAGAACCTGCTCACCCCACAATAGAAATTTTAATCTGACACCATTATTATCCACAAGACTAATTTGTTTCCTCCGCAAACTACCATTATTTCCTTGTATTTCCAGTGACCCAATAGATTCAATCCTACACAAAGTGGTAAAAAGAGAGTAAAGAAAACCTTTATAACATAGAGAATCTAAATATCATAATCTGAAATTATTTATGGCTATGAACTTCCATAATAAATGCTTGCTTACTCTAACAATATGGGTTATTAATTAGGTAAAAAAATAATATGGGCTATTTGATGGGAAATGATTTTAGCATGGTCATCCACTTTTATTAGAGCAGGTAATATCATTAAAAATTTTGTGATGCAATTTCAATCTTCATAATGTTTAAGATTGTGCAACAAAATGATTGATTAAATAGAACAAGGGGTATAAGAACAAAATCTGTAGTGAAACAACAGGTAGTTTACAACGCAGTCAAGTTCTTCAAATTGAAAACTATATTAATTTCTTCGTTAAGTGCATTTGAACAATTAGTTACCACTTCAAATATAAATTCCACTTAAAAATTTGATTTTTTTTGATAAATAAATAATTCATTAAAAAAAAAAAGCGTTCAAGAGGAGAACGCATCCCTAACAAAACACAAAAACCTGGGAACCCTAAGGCCCCAAGGAAGCCAAAAACTCAATCGTCTCATCAGCAAAAGAACAGAGTCTACCCGAACCCCAAAAACAAAGAGAGCTAATAACAGAAGATTTCAAAACAGTGATGGAAGATCCCTCTCCTTCAAAGGATCTTCTATTTCGCTCCCTAGCACCACCAAAGACATAAAGGTGCCAACCTCCAGAACCCTCGAGCCTGTGCTCCCACCCAAACCCCTCTCCAGGTGTCCATCAGGCCTCTCGTAGATCTAGGCATGACCCAACAAACTCCAAACAAACCTAGCAAAAGGTTCCAACAATCAACCGCGGACAATGCAAGAGAAGATGATCAACCGACTCGCTATTGCATTTACACATGCAACACTAATTCACCGTGATAAGCTTTCTCCATCTCAAATTATCCAATGTCAAAATTTTACCCCACACAACCATCCAAGCAAAAAAAGCCACTTTCAATGGCGCTTTAGTGTGCCACACAACCTTCCACAGGAATACCACCCCATCCAAATCCACCAGGCATCCGAAAAAAGATCTCACACTAAACATTCCCCTGGCAGATGAAATCCAAACCAAAGAATCCCTACCTCCTCCCCAGATCACCTAGCTATACAACAACTCTAAAAAACCAAGCACATCATCCATCTCCCAATCCTGAAAAGAGCACTGAAAGAGCACATCCCAAACCGGTCTCCCACTATCAAGACGATAACAGTAAGCCACCAAGGCATGCCTATCCAAGTCAGTCTAGGAAAAGAACATGCTAACGTGCGGTCTCCACACCACACATCCTCCCAAAACCGAATCTCCCTACCATCATGAAATCTGAATCTGATATGCTTAGAAAACTCATTTCATCCCTTCCGAATGTCTTTCCAAACACCTACCCTGTAACGCCCCGAACCCGTGGATCTGGTCCGTTACCCGGATCCTTACCCGAACCCGAGGTCAACTAGGTCATACCGTTAATTTTCTTGAATCTTTAACCATTATACCAAGTAATCCAAGGTCCCAAAATGTCCCGAGTCAAACTCACAAGGAGGTCCAAACAATACAGGTTAAAGAGGGACTGTCAGCCGGCTAATGGCCCATGGTCTGCCGGCTGACAAAGCAGGATCGGTCGACTGACAAGCAGGATCGGTCGGCCGAAACGATGGTGAGGAAAAAGGGCTCTCGGGACTTTCACTGTACAGGCATTTCGGTCGGCCGACGATGGGTTTCGGTCGGCCGAACCTGGGGTTTTGGTCGGCTGATGAGGAGGATCAGCCGGCTGAAACATGCATCCCTGGTTATCAACTTGCTGGAAAGGTCACTGTCTGCACTCTCAACCCACCCAACCTTCACTGAACCTGTTTAGCGACTGATTCCGAACTCAAGGTAACGAAATATGATGATACAATCTTAAAGGGTATCATTAGTGAATCGTAATACAACATTCCCTTTTCATTGATCAACAAGTGTACACTTAGTGCCAAATTTACAACATTTACAATCAAGTGTTATGGTTCAAATACATGTCCATGGTTGACAAAAATTAATTACACTTTACTAAAATTTGAGACTTTACAAAAATGGGAAATGCACAAAAGATACAACTAAACTCCTAGTCATCTTCATGCTTGTGGAAGGTCGGCGTCCACTACCTCTTTTCCGGTTCCTGAAAAATATTAAATGATGGGATGAGCGTAAAGCTCAGTAGGTAGCGCCTAAGGCACACCCCTTGTAGCCTCGTGAATCCAAAAAAGGAATAGAGCAATAGGAGATAAGGATCATACAATGTCAGGGTAATTTCACATAACGATCAATCTCAAGTATACACAATCTGATGCAATGGAATGCAATGCGTGCCAATGTCACTCCCCATTTTCATCATTCAAAACCATCATTTTCAAACGGTTAATATAACCCGCCCTTTAGTGTCCCTGACCCTTGGTACCCCCGCGGCGTCATTTTGGGCCCAGCTAGCTCAACCACGCTAGGGCAATCTCCCTAGTTCCCTCTAGGCGATATTAACCCTCCGGCCCTTTGGTACCCCCGCGGCGACCGGGTTTTCACAAAACCTTTTCATCAAAATTCTCCCGAAAATCCCCCTTTTCATTGTTTCAAAGAAAAATCATTCCCATCCATGCGAACCCAATGATGTGCATATATATGTCTCAAGCCTTCAATGCTATGCTACGAAGGGATTTCCAACAATACAATTAGGCATACTTCCCAAACATCATAGCTAGCAATTTTATACACTTTAGGCATTAAAACTTAACATTTATCATGCTTTTTCAAGTGAACCAACAATTTCACATAATCACATGTTTCATACACTCAATTAGATCATCTAAGGAAGCAATCAACTTAATCTAAGCACGCTTGACTACAATTCAAGTAGAGAAACTCACAAAAGTACAAGAAAAGTATGAATTAGAAACCCCTACCTTAAAATGATGCAAAACCCCCAAATTCTTCTCAAACCCTAGAATTAGAGATCCTCCAAATGGAAGCCAAAAATCGATTGGCTCCGATCAATTCGAAGCCCTTGATGCGCTCTTTAATTTGCCGCAAACGGCCCCACAAATCTCCAAAAGTTGAGAGAGAGATCTAAGATTGAAACATGAAGGAAAAGAAAAAGAAAAAGTGAAGGAATAGAGGGGAAGAGAGAGAGTGACGGGAGAGAGAAGGAAAATGGAGACCAAAATGAGGTCTTGGTCCATTTTCTAAAAGTTTGTGGGCCCTACCATGTTCTTTTTATTTTTCCTTTTTCTTTTTGCTCTAATTTACACTACACACAACACATACACACACATATATGTACACATTAAATCATAACCATACACTACACATTAAATACAATAAATATGATGCAAATGGATTCAACTAAAATCCCCAGATGCAACAGTACCGGCAACAGGTCCCACACGGGACTGTCCGATCCGAAAAGCCGAAAAATGGAAAGATAACCACCCTTACATTTCAAAGAGTCCTGGACTCAATGAAATGTCCCAAACAATTCTCAAACATGACCGGCACACCCCGCAGTGTCCAGTTCGCAAAACTGTAAAAGACGAAAATGCCCTTGTGGAGACAAAATTCCAAAAATTTGAAAAATGCAGAAAATCAAAAACATCACATACCCCTCCAGGCATAGACACCCCCGCCAAGTACGCTTCTTTTTCTTTTTGATAAGTAAAACCCTCAAGTACGCTTCTTTTTCTTTTTGATAAGTAAAACCCTCAAGTAGGCTTCTTAGTATGCTCAAGGGGAAAAAAAGAAACTTTTGTTTTGCAATCAATGCATCAAGTACTTGTATTTTCTTTTTTTAGTTATCCCTAATTTAACATGCTTCACATCACATCATGGTCGTATTTGATAGATCATATTGTTAAATCTTATCCACCATTTGATTTTCATTATTATGTTCTTCATGAGCTCATAATTGACTACTTTTATTAATAGTGTCTAGTGCATAATTCTAAAAATTTATGATAATGATATAATATAATAAGTTAAAATTCTAAATGACGAAGTGCTTTATTTGAACATTTTCTATGGAATTTAATTCAGTTGAAACACGCATGTTTTAAGGATATGATCAAATCCATTTAGCTATCCTTATTAGTTGACATGTCAAAAATCTACCCAAAAAACTATGGGATTTAATTCAGTTGAAGCACGCATGTTTTAAGGATATGATCAAATCAATTTAGCTAACCTTATTAGTTGACATGTCAAAAATCTACCCAAAAAAAAAAAAATTGTGTTACATATCTTGTTTCAATTTTACACTTCTTTTAACCGAAATGCATATACAAATTAAAAGTGTATATGTACATTTATTTAGATAACCTATTGAGCTCATTAGCTAATTTCCCTCATTTATATATTCAATAATTTGTCACAAATTATTGTACATTTTAAAATTTTGAAATGATCTTTAATTTGCATTTTCATAATTACAAACCCCTTTATTCACTTAGGCTCGGCTTTACACTTAGCGTCCATAGATTTTGGTGCCTTAGTGCATCTTGAGCCTTTTTTAATAACGATGACACTGAATGTGCTTGATGAAAGGTGAATTATTAAATTTTTTATTATAAAATTTCAAGTGTTCAAAATTTCCAGCTCTACTAATTAAACAGATTATAATTTTACAGTGCTAGATTTCAGTTTTATCAAACAGCATTGAAATTAACATCAGGTCAATTCTAAAATTAGTGGATAGACTGAATGCATCTTACCTTGCATATAACGAATAAGAATCCCCTTCATTAACTGAAGAGAAAGAAATGGAAGAGAAAGAATCTGAACAAAACTGTGCTCCCAGCAGCATTGCATCGTCATCTTGGTCCTGCATAAAAATGTAAATGTAACCACAATAATGAAAATAATGTTCCCACTCAATTCTTAAAAGATCATATTAACACTCCCAGGATAACTTGAAGTTGAAACAAGAAGGAACTCCACTTCATACAAACTACAAGATGTGGATTGAAGAATGGATATCACAAGGTCAAAGTTGACTTAAATATATGATTAAAAGGGAAATAAATTGTTGACTTATAAAGTAACTCAATTTTGAACCTAATATTGATTTAACCTTAATTAATTGTTGAATAATATACGCAGAATGCTTTGTATAAAATGGAAATTCATGTTACCTTATGGATGTATTAGTCAATAGTTAATTAATCTTTTGATTAAATTTAGATTAATTCATGTTATCGTGAATTAGTGATATATGTGTAAGAGGAGTGAGAAGTAAGTGAATCATCTCCTTCTACACTGTCCAGTGGCGTGGGACGGTTGGGCTATCTTGCTTGCTATTTTTGACATGCATTGGGTGGTGCCGAGTTCCACGAGATGTACTCTTGAAGCTTGGAGAAGGTGAGTAGTGGGGAGCCAAGCCTGAAACACGCGGAGAGTAGCCCCCGTTGCTTGTGGTGGGGCTTGCAGAGAGAAATAGAAAATCCTTTTAAAGAAAGGAGGCTCCAATTTGGGCTCTTAAATTTTCTATCCTTAGTTCTTTGTTTTGTGGACTCACGGATGGAACTAAAAAACTATAGATGATATTGTGGACAGGATGAGGGTATGGTGGACCCTTTTGGGTCTTTTTGTGCTTTTGTATATAGAATGCGCTCCTCTCTTGAGCACACTTCAAAAAAAAAAAAAAAAAGTCAAAATATTTTATTTGTCAATCTTAAATACAAATGAATTCCAATTGTTAGACTATTAAATGCCAGGGGAAATTTTTTTTTATATAAAGATCAATTGATTAGAGGGTCCAGTTCAGCAGTTTAACGTTTGAACATCAGTGGCATTGGTGCAAGTTCAAGCCGTAGAGTAGCCACTCTATGAAATATCAAAAGTTAGGTTTGTCTCAACACTCCGGTTCTCCCCTTAGTGGGACCAAAACTGGGTAATGTCCCTTTTTAAGGATATCAATTGATGTTTGAGGCTATAGATATGCATAGTTTATCCTTTTTTAAAAAAATAAAAATAAAAAATGAGAACCTTTAGAAGGTCCTTCCAACTTTTAATGTTATCCATACATATGACTTCAAATTTATTTGTGTAGTCCAAACCTATTCTACTTTCAAGATATGTTTAAGGTTCAAAGCTTTTGAAATCATCTCTTTTCTTTCATTTTGACCAGTTAATGGAATAATTGGTTGACTATGAGTGAAGAACTGAAGATAAGAAATTCAAAAGGGAACGAAATGACTCACAATTTCCGAATTTTTCAACCAAATCATGTATTACTTGAAATTCAAACAATATTCCATTTAGTCTCCCAATAAAATGTTTCTAGAGTTTAAGTCTTCAATTTTAGAGCATATGAACAAGAACAAGCTGGGGCAGTAAAATATGGCAGCACCAATGGCAATCCCATTACTATTCTTATTTTGAGGCTTCTAAAACGAATTATTTATGTATTTAAAAGCAAGAGCTCAACCTCATATTCTATATATATTTTTCAAAATACTCCCTCCGTCCCATATTAGTTGTCCACTAGGCCATCTTTCTATTTTTAGTTGTCCCACAATAGTTGTCCCATTTCAAAACCCAATGTACTATATTTTGTTATATTCCCAATTTATCCTCATTACTTTGAAAAGGATAAACATCACCATGGACCCCACCAATTCAAAACAAAGGGTAAATTTGAAAATTCATTCATTTCAATGTTAAAAATATATATATTAATGCTCCGTTCAGTAGGAAGGAAGAAAATTGGATGAAGGGAGAGAAGAAGGGAAGGATGAGGCATCCCTAGGGAAGAGATTATGAACTTCCCTCATTTTGTTTAGTTGGATGGAAGAGAAGAGAAAAGCTGACAACTTACTTTGTTCGTTAGGAGAGACGGGAAAGAGAATTTTAAATTATTTTTACCATTATACCCTCACTACTTTTGCTACTCATTTGAACCTTTATTATGCTATAAGTACGATTAATTTCACTCTAATTTGTTGTTTGTCTTATATATATATATATATAAGTAGAATCATATTTCATCATGAAAAAAAAAAAAAAAAAAAAAAGTAGCCCACTATCTACATGCCTTGAGGGACCAGAGAGAGGGATTCCATCATGTCCAGGTTTTGTCTTTGAAAAGGAGTCAATAATAGGTAGCTGCATATATAGGTCATCAATATAAAAGTTCAGCATAGAAATTAATCAAGACAGGGAACATTCAGGTGCAGTAACTAATGCTTCAAAGGTGTGGTCCCTGAACCTGTGCCTTTGCTGGTGCAGCAGGTGGTGTCTCTGCATAAACATTGAAACTTGGAGCAATTAGGACTTGGTTTGGGGACTTTTGACGATGCTACTATATTAGGGTTTTGCATGAGAGATGAGATTGTGGAGTTCATTATATTTATGAAGGATAATTTTGTAATTTAACTTTTTTATAATAGCTCCACTTGTTTTCTCTTGTGTTTTCCGCCCAAATTTGGGCAAATGAAAATTTATAAAGGAGGAGGGATGCATCCCTCCTATTATCCTTTCTCTCCGTGTCTCCTTCCTACCGAACAAAGGAACTTTGTTCCTTCCCTCCTATTTTCCCTCCACCCATCTTCCTTCCTTCCTTCCTACTGAACAGTGCATAAAAGTCATTCTCTTAAAATGAATAAAACTCCCCGGAAATTTCTACAATAGCCATTGGATCAAACTACAAACCTGAAGAGGGGAAGGTGGTAAAATGAGTGTGACACTTACCTCATCTAACAGTATCACGAGGTATTCAGTTGGCAAGAGACGTGGAAAACCAGATCCTTCAGAGGCAGTTCGAAGATAGCATCCTGTGAGGAAAATCTCCCGCCCTTTCTTAAGAATCCCGTTGCTAGGATCTGCCAAGTTGTAATATCTGGCATAGAATGGATCTTAGAGATCTTCATAGATTAGTATCAGTAACATATGCACACTACAGCACAAAGTAAGCATATATGTCATAGCTGATATTCAAGGGCACGCACAGTCTTATGTATAATGTAAAGTTAATGTCAAGCAGCATTGCTTCATTCAGTTCATGACATTGTGCAAGTGCTTGTCACAAATAGAAACATTGCATAATAATTATGAATGTTTTATTCTGCCATTAATAAGCTTGACGGTAGCTTCAGTACACAACCAGTAAGGACCGGCAGATCACCAAGTAAACAGGGGGGGAGAGAGAGAGAGATGGCAGGTACTTGGATTTATACCATTTCACCAAAAGAAGTTCATAAAACAAACATATGAGTTGAGTGAACATTTGGTTCAAATATAGAACCAATGTTCAAATTTGGAAGAAGGAATAAAAAAAAAAAAAAACGAAGGGCAAGGATTATAATGAGCCAAAATGCATAATTATCTGGTCTGCATACCAATGTAAGATCCCTGTGAAAGCTAGATTGCCAGAAGATATCATTAAATCAAATACAAAAAAAACCCATTAAAAAGAGTAATTTTTCCTGCACAAGCTGTCAATTATAGCACTGGCAATGAGAATTATACCAAAAAAAGCAACCATATATCATCTGCAGTAGGTACAATGGAACCAGCTATACATGCAAGAACTTGAAATAATCCAAATAATAAATATCGGGACAATGGTTGTATTTTTGTGAATGGGGAATGTCCAATTTAATGAAAAGATACTTTTTAGTACAAAAGTACAGTGAACATCATCTACCTGCGGTGAAGATACAGATCAATGGTATTGGAGCTCCAAAAGTCCCCCAAACTAAGCATGTAAATGTTTGTACCTACGAGATTAAAAAAAGTCTATGAGCGACAATAGCAATTACATCTCAACATAAAAACTATAAATAGATGCCATACAGCAAACTGGCACTGTATGCAAATAACAAATACAAGTCAAAGCTTCAAGCAATAGTGAGAGCAATTGTAAATTAAAACACTGCAGTTGAAGGCATTGCAAAATTCATATAACTTTACCAAGGCTGAATTTACCATTGCATTGCAATCAAATGATCATTTGTTTTTGTAGGTAATGAGCTGCAATTAAATGGCCAATCAAATGCATGAAAAGCACATGATCAGATAGTTTGACAAATTTTTAGTTTGACAGATAGTTTGACAAATGTTTTTTTTTAGAAGTAAAATATTATAGACAGCACTCAAAAGGGGAGTGCATCCCAGGGACTACACAAGGGCCAAATAGGGCCCTTAGACGCTCACAGTATCCACAAAGTCCACTATCTCCCCTATGGATTTACAAAATCTCCCCCTAATCCAAAAAAATAAAGTACTAAGAATAGAGAACTTAAGCACACTAATAGGGGCTTCCTCTCCCTTAAAAGACCTATTTCTTTCTTTCCATAGGGACCACCACAAGCACAGAGGTGCAACCCTCCAGATGACACGGACCTGGGCTCCCACAAAGCCACCCCTCCATGCCTTGAGAACATTTCTACATTCTGAAGGTGCAGTAACTACTATATATTTGTTGCAAAGTTGCAAGGCGTTGCTAGACCTGCCTCTGCCCATGTGTTTGTTGCCTATGGTTTGCTCATAAAGCCATCATTTGAGAAAATTTTAGTGCATTCTGGCACAGACATAACCGAAGTCCAAAAATTCATTCGGACCCAATAAATTGCAACAGAGAAAAGATAAAGGAAGTTCATACCTAAAAGAATATAGTAATGATTGATAGCTCCAGTCAAATGAGAAAACTATACAGTATTTAAAGTGATTAACACAATGTGAATTCATTTAATCAAGTGGCATCAACAATCAAAATCATCATCCTATCACACCAAGGATCATATAGTACCTGGCAGAATAAAACTGTCGACAATAACAGCTTCAATAACACTACTTAAAGACAAGAATTTTTTCTCATAAATCGAATCAATGGTGACAGTGTTCGGAAGCTTCACCCTTTTGTGCTTCTTTTTCAACTCATTAATACAATCCGGCCGTTTATTTGGAGCAACAGTCCTTCGTTGTTCACTCCAAGCCTACATATAAAATGAAATAAAGCAAATAACAAGAATCAATCATATATATATATATATATATATATATATATATATATATATATACTGTAGATGTGTCAACAAATGTATAATAGAATGAACCTGAGAGAGGTCGGAGAGTAGAATTGCAGAGGTGACTCCACTTGAATAAGCGATACAAGTCTTGAGGATCCGATTTGCGATCCAGCTCCATCCGGGTCCGTTGAACTCTTCTTCGGTTTCGTCTTTATCGGGTGACAAAATTGATCCTGCATAGTTGATAAATCGAAGAAATGGATCTTCTTCTTCTTCTTGGTGGTGGTCTATGTCCATGGTTGAATCTTCAAGATGATTTGCTATGCGATTGATGAGCGAATGATCGGTGAGAGAGTTCATTGTTCAGAATTCAGATCAACGATTGAAACCCTTAAAAGCTTTATGCTTCAATTGGGGTGTGGGATCTCTACTGTGTAAACCCCAGAAGATCTGACATTAAATGTTTGGTGGCGAGTGTTTGTGATGTTGAATTAAACCTATGTATTTGTTATTTATACAAGAAATTTATACGAAAATGGTGACAAATTGAATTTCAATTTCCCCCCAAAACAAAAAAAAAAATCATTTCCCCCCAAAAGTGTCTCTATATGTGATTCCTCAAATTAAACTTTAGATCTCCCTCTCAAATTCAGGTCTCTCTCTACCTCTTCAAACAAGCAAAACAATGTCTTTCTTCAAAGAAGTTCCGATTTGAAGTATACAACATTTAGGTAATGTCATGGTTGGTGATTAACGAGCTTCAAACAAACAAAAGGGGACCTATTCTGAAGAACATTCCAGCAACAAGAAGAAGTTCACCATACATTCTGGCGAAAAGTAGAAGTTTCCGATCATTATTCGTAGGTGGTGATTGAGAAATATTTGTAATTTTATTCGAAATTATAAAACAAACTTTATCTTATTTAGCAGTGACATTTGGTAACAGCCTTGGTAATTTGTCTTGATGAGCATGGAATCATGTAACACCAGAATTTGAAACTTGGTTTACATTGTTTGGAGGCAATCTGAGATTTAGTTTGTTTGTTCTTCTGCATTTTCATAATTTTGAGTCAATCTAATATTTAATTGGTTTATCCTTGTGCATATTTATGTTAAATTTGCAGAGTGTATGAATTTATTTATCTGTTATAAGTGTTGATAATAATTGTATTAATAATATAAAATTCATTCTAAGTTTTATGTATTTGATAATTAGGATGGGAGTATTGAAAAAAAAATAGATTTTGCATCTGATTTTTAAAGTATTATAGTTAATGGCTAATCTGTTGCAGTAATTAATAATTCAAGTTTACATCTGATTTTAGTAATTCGATTTGCGATATATTAGTAATTTTGTTTGTGAAAGAACCCCTTCAAAACAGTGTGACTATTGTTTAAAAAAATTAGTTAATTGAATTGAGAGATAATCTTAATATATTTTTCAGTAAAAATATCTCTACTGTTGCATTGCTTTCGTATTAATTTTTATTTTATTTTTTAATTTTTATAGGGTACACTTGAACACTATATTGATATTTAATTTGAATAATATGTTCATATAAGTGATGCCAGATGTTGAAAGATGTTATGAATGTGTTCATATCCATGATATTAGTATTGCACTTAAATTAGTGTCGGACAATTTATGAATGTGTTGATATGCATCATATTGCCCTATTTATTAAAGATGTAATGGTTTATTTATTAAACTGTTGACATTTGTTTATAAAATATTATGTTGTTCAGTTCAAAAGATGTTTCATTCATTTGCTTCCCACTTTAAATAATTTTCCTTTATGAAGTTCACTTGAAATATGTTAAAATGTATTTTGTATGCTATGTTAATATAAGTGGTGCCACATATTGGAAAATTTTATGAATGTTTGAATATGTATCATATTACTTTATCACTAAAATTCATGTGGAAATGTTAAGAAAAAGATGTGATGGTTTATTAATTAAACTGTTGACACTTATTTGTAAAAAGTTATATTGTTCAGTTTAAAAAATAAAATGATTTTCGTTTATAGGGTTTACTCGAAGTATGTTAGGATTTATTTTGAATGATATGTTCATATAAAGTGGTGTGAGATGTTAGAAAAGTTTATGAATGTGTGGATATGTGATGGTTTATTTATTAAACTGTTGATATCTGTTTGTAAAAAGTTACGTTGTTCAGTTCAAAAGATGTATCATTCATTTATTTCCACTTGAAATGATTTTCCTCTATGAGGTTCAGTTGAACTATGTTATGATTTATTTTGTTCGATATTTTCATATAAATGGTGCCACATGTTGGAAAAGTTTTATGAAAGTATGGATATGATCTTTCACTTAAATTCATGCGAAAATATTAGGTAAAAGATGTGATGGTTTATTTATTAAACTGCTGATACCTGTTTGTAAAAAGTTATATTATTTTATTCAAAAGATGTGTCCTTCATTTTCTTCCTACTGGAAATGATTTTTCTTTATGAGGTTCAGTTGAACTATATTAGGATTTATTTTATACGATATGTTCATATAAGTGGTGCCACATGTTGGAAAAGTTTATGAATGTGTGGATATATCACTCTATCACTTAAATTAATGTAAAAATGTCAAGTAAAAGATATGATGGTTTATTTATTAAACTATTGTTTGTAAAAAGTTATGTTATTCAGTTAAAAAGATGTGTCAGTTAAAAAGATGTGTCATTCATTTGCTTCCCACTTGAAATGATTTTTTTTTTTTATGAGGTTCACTTGAATTATGTTAGGATTTAGTTTATATAATATATTCATAAAAGTGGTGCCACATGTTGGAAAAGTTCATGAATATGTGAATATATGATCTCTATCAATTAAATTCGTGTGGAAATGTTAGGTAAAAGATATGATGGTTTATTTATTAAACTGTTGACACGTATTTGGAAAAAGTTATGTTGTTCAATTCAAAAGACGTGTCATTCATTTGTGTCTCACTTTAAATGATTTTCCTTTATGAGGTTCACTTGAACTATTTTAGAATTTATTTTGTATGATATGTTCAAATAAGTGGTGCCACATGTTGGAAAAGTGTATGAATGTTTAGATATGAATCATATTACTCAATCATTTAAATTCATGTGAAAATGTTAGGAAAAAGATGTGGTGGTTTATTTATTATACTGTTGAAACTTATTTGTAAAAAGTTATGTTATTCAATTCAAAAGATGTGTCATTCATTTGCTTCCCACTTTAAATAATTTTCCTTTATGAGTTTCACTTGAACTATGTTAGGATTTATTTTGTATGATATGTTCATATAAGTGGTGCCACATGTTGGAAAAGTTTATGAATGTGTGGATATGCATCGTATTACTCTATCACTTAAATTCATGTGAGAATGTTAGGTAAAAGATGTGATGATTTATTTATTAAATTGTTGACACTTGTTTATAAAAAGTTATGTTGTTCAGTTCAAAGACGTGTCATTCATTGGCTTCCTAATTTCAATGATTTCCCTTTATGAGTTTCACTTAAATTATGTTAGGATTTATTTTGTATGAAATGTTCATATAAATGACTCCACCTGTTGTAAAATTTTATGAATGTATGGATATGCATCAAATTACTATATCACTTAAATTCATGCGAAAATGTTAGATAAAGGATGTGATGGTTTATTTATTAAACTGTTGACACCTGTTTATAAAAAGTTATGTTGTTTAGTTCAAAAGATATATCATTCATTTGATTCCTACTTTAATGGTTTTCCTTTATGAGTTTTACTTGAACTATGTTAGGATTTATTTTGTATGATATGTTCAAAACATGTTTCAGAAAAATTATGTTGTTTAGTTCAAAACGTATTTCATTAATTTGCTTTCTACGTAAAATGATTACTTTTATAAGGTATACTTGAACCATGTTGCGATTTATTTTATATTGTATGGTCATATAAGTGGTGCCACATATTGTATTGTCCTTTTAGTGGTGCCACATATTGCAAACATATTTTATTAATTTAATATATTTCTTTTATACTTACTTTTATAATTTTTGTATTTGTATGTTTTATATTTAACTTATAGCCATGGAAGATGGAATGATTAATATTGAAGAAATAGATATCGAATCAGTCTGCGAGGCACATGAAGTACAATGGGAACCATGTATTGAAATGGAGTTTGATTCTTAAGATGCAGCTTCTGATTTTTACAACAATTATGGTGGCAAAGTCGTTTTAGTATTCGGAAGGAGTACGGAAATAAAAATTGGAAGGATAAAAAATTAACATCTAGATTGTTTATGTGTAGCAAGGAGGGTTTAAGAGGTAAGGACAAGAGAGAAGGAAAAATAAATAAAGGAATGGCTGAAACATGCATAAACTATGGTGCATGCATGCTTATTGGGTATGATGTGGGTTTGTATAAGTTCGTTGTAAGACATTTTGAAGAAAGTCACAACCATCCCCTCATTATGCAGCAGTGCACCCACATGATGTCGTTGCAGCGAAAAATCAGCTCAGTGCAAGGTATTGATGCGGAGTTGGCTTATGATTCTGGAATAGCAGTTCGTAAAACCTTCGAATTAAGCTCCAGGCAAGTTGGAGGTAAAGAAGCGATTGGCTTCACCAAAGTTGATGTACAGAATTATATTAGGACGAGAAGACAGAATGAGCTTGAATGTGAAACGGCGAGTTAGTTCATGAATTATTTTCAAACTCAGTCTTGGGAAGATCCATCATTTTTTCATACTGTGTAACTGGCCATAGATACAATGACAACTAATATATTTTAGGTCGATTATAAAATGATATCAGATTATGGCCATTTTGGAGATGTGGTTACGTTTAATACAACGAACAAATTTATCCGAGGTAACCTGTAATGACCCGGTCATTTCCTTCCTTTCCTTTTTTCCTTAGAATTTTACGAATGAATTTTTTTTCGTTGAAACCTCTTTTCTGAGTTCGATTTCTTGTCGTTTAGTGTCGTCTTGAATGCTCGGAAATGGTTTCTGGGACTCTTTTCTGTGGATTGACAACTTCTTTTGAGAACCGAGCCATTTCCACATTTTCATTTTTTGCCACTATTCATTTTCGTCTCTTTCTCAGTTGTCACTTTGTTGGCATAACCTCACTTTTCGTGTTCGGATTTGATTTCGGTTTTGCATGCATCCATGATATTTAAATTCCATGTTATGTGTATTTTCTTTTTTGTAGAAAAGCATGCTACGTGTTTACTTTTCTTGTAAAGGGTATAGACGCATAACCTTTTTGTAATATTCTAAACTTTTGGGGTTTTTATGTAATTACTGTAAAGTAATTATTTTTCATCTTAGGGACCATTTTGCAAATTAATTTGGAAGATATTTTCAAAAAGGACCTTTTTGCAATTTCTGAAAAAGTGTGACAAGTGTCACACTCTTATTGGTCCACTTGTTGACATTTGTGTGGAAACATTTTGATGCCTTGGATGATGACACGTGGAGGGTGGAAATTCACCCACTTGTTGGCATAGGATTGGTGCACTTGTTGGCTTGGATGGTAGACAAGTGTAGGCTTGAGATTAAGCCTAGAATGGAGCCTTGGATTTGTGACAAGTGTAGGGCTCACAATTAGTCTTGCATTGTGTGTGTGTGTTGACCATGGTGTAGATTCACCTAGTGAGTGGAGGACCTCTAAATCCTCCACTCACATTTTATCTCTTTCATTATTTACATCATCTTACACATAAGAACCCTAGCCACCATTGGAGGAGCTTAAAGCCTTAAGCTTTGACCTTGATTTTTAAGTATCTTCCATTGATTTCCAAGCTTGAACTTGGGAATACTTTTTGTTCCCCTCATTCTCCTCTACATAACCCTTGAAGGGTGAACCATTTGGAGTTTCCTAGCCTTGGATTCTGGAGAGACTCTTCTCTAGTGAGGTAGGGGATGTTAT